AACATTACATTCGCCGGCTTGCAGACGGCTGCGTCGCTTCTATAGGCTTTCCCGGAATGTCCAGGCAGATACATACATACATACATACATAGTGTACACGCGCCCGCGCGCGCAGCCTGAACCAAGTGTTTCCAACCGTGTGAGGTAACGTCTGGGCGCGAAGCAAGAAGGTCGCAGCACCCGGTGAGCCCGAGGAAGCTTTTCGACGGCGGCGGTTTCAGCGTTGGGCCATTCTCCCCCCCCCCGCGCGGAGGCGAGCGCAGAGCGGGCGCGACTCCACCCGGAGTGACACCTCGCCCTCAGCCCCCGCCTCCCCGCCTGCAGGCGAAGAAGGGGACCCGAAGCGGGGGGAGCCCGGCGGCTGTGTTTACACGATTCATGCCTCACGCCTCTCTCCGCCCGCCAGACGGGTCGCCACCGCCAGGGCGAGGTGTCTCGACTGCTGCTCCAGAGAACGCCTTCCAGCCCCCCACCTACCCCCCACGGCCCACCTCGTGTGCCTCTGCCCCAGCCAAGAAATCGGGATCCGACTCGCAGCCGCCCCTCCGACCAGACCCGGCATCACAGTTCGCCCCTTTGCCCCTCGCGGGAAAGCAGCCGTCCGCGCTAAGTTTGGAGGCACGCGTTAAAGTCTGGCCACGTTCCGTTCCAGCCGAGCGTAATAAGAACCCAAAGCCAAAGCCGGGTTCAAGTTGGGAGTTTGGGATGTCTGGGGGGGGCTGTGGGGGTGAGAAAGAAGGCAAGCGTCCCCAATGGACCCCGTAGTAGTAAAAGCCGCCCGGGTGGCTCCCTTCCTTTCGGATCGGGCTAAACAGCCCCCTCGGTTCCTTTGGGATCCAGCTTTCCGGCTCCGTGGCGCCAAAGACCGTCTCCCGGCACCCCAACTTTCCTTCCATCTCTTGCCCCGCCGCCGCACCCCTTCCCACCACGGGGCAGGTCTCCGCCTTACCTGGTGCAGGAGGAGCCACTGGCCGAGGAGGAGAGGGACCCAGGCGAGGACCTTCATGGTTCAAGGCAAAAAGCTGCCCCCAGCATTGAGAGCGCGGAGGGGCGAGGGGAAGATCAGGGAGAGGGCAAGGGGCGCTGGAAACGGGAGGACCCCAAAAGGAGCATGGAAAGAAGCAGGAAGGAAGGAAGGAAGGAAGGCGGCAGAATCCTCTCGGGCTGAGAAGCGGGAAGCTAAAGAAGCTGGAGCAAGGAGGAGCAGCAGCAGGTCCCCGGCGCCGCGATCGGAGCTGCACTGAGAATTGCGCGCCAAGAAAGCGAGGGAGAGGAAGGAAGAAAGTTGACTCTGCACTTGATGAGAGGAAAAACAGGGATGGCGGGAGGGCGGAACACAGACGGCGGTGGTGAGGTGCAGGAGCCCTGCCCAAGAAGCTGGAGGGGGGGAGAGACGGGGGGGGCTTCCTTAACTCCCCAGTTCACCAATCCCAGTCTGCCCACCCCGCGCGCCACGGGAGGATGGCGGTCCTCTTCCTACACCCCTCCTCCTCTTGAAGAAAAAATTGGTTTGGGAAGAGCTGAGGGAGGGGGAAGGAGTTTCTGGCTCTCATTCGCCCCCCTGCCCCCCCCCCCGTTATTCTAAAACAAGAGGTAATAAAATGTGACTGAAGAACTCAGGGCGTGGCGAGCAGCTTTTGGAAGATGGCAAGGAGAGTTTCTTCCCGGAGGAAGGTGGGGTGGGGGGGGCTGGTTTTGAACTTGTCATCTGAAGACCGGGTGGGCTCAAGACTTGCGTGACTTATGTCTCCCCCCCCCTCCGCAATCCTTTTATTTTAATAGATCTGCTCCAGATGCATAAGCACGCGCAAGATCGCAGGGTGCACGACGTTAAATCTTTCATCTTGGCGTGAGCCAGGCGAGATGTGTTAAAAGAAAGAGACCTCGCGGCGGGGCCAGTGGCATTCAGAAGGAGTCTGAGCTGCGTTCTCAGTCTTAGGGGTCAGCAGGAGGTGGTAAGTATTTATTCTGTTTCTTTCAAAGCTTTCTCTCCTGTCTCTTCGGCATTAGGGACCTCAAAGTAGTTTGCTTGGTAGAAGTGGGTGGGTATCACAAGCGGACCTCCCACTTGGGCAACTGATGGGGCCAGGCTCAGCAGAAGCTAGCCCTTCGTGGCACCCAGGGCAAAGAGCACCATCTGCCCCTCACCTGGCCATCAGAGGGAGGCCCAACCCACGAAAAAGGAAGAGGAGAAGAATGTGAGGTCTGCCTATAAGAAAGTCTATTCTTTCAGAACAAGTGGGGGTGTTGAACAGGGCCATCTATTTTCCCAACAGTCCCCAGTAGATTCACCTCTAGATTTTGGTGCTGTGGGCAAAACTCCGGTTTCGCCACCCTGCTTATAGCCCTGAAGCCAGTACCTGCTAGGCTTCAGTAAAGGTGGTTTTATTTTACTTTCCGAAAAAAAGGTCATACTGTTAGACTGTGATTCTCTACCACTGCTACCTTTGTACAGCACCTACTCCATTTTCAGCTCCTTTGGAAACAACACTGGCTGAAACCCTGGCATATATGAAACAGGCTGATAGCCACAAGGGAGGGTGCTAGCCACCCTGAGCAGCTTTCTGACCTTACCTCTCGGAGCAGCAATAGACTCCACTCTTGCTATCATGACGTTGTGCAGCTGTCTTGCACACATACTTACTTCCTCATGCAGAATATGGAGCCTAGTCCGTATTGTATTTAGAAAGTGCTGCCCAACCATGATGGCAACTCTCTTTATACCCAAGCCATCGGAGCTCAAATGTTTGAACCACGAGTTTGACATTAAATGAACGTACAGAAAATCATTTCTACAATATGCCTCAATAAGTGTGTTCTTGAAAGTGCCACAAGACTTCCCATTGAAGGAAGTAGTACCTGTGAGCATGTGCAGAGTTTATTTCACTCATCACCACTGAGAAATCTTACACCACTAGGATTTGGAGATGATGTTTTCACTGCCAAGTCCACTTCCTGGAAAGTGTGGACCCCAGCACTGAGCATGGCACCGATAACTACAGAGACACACCTGGACCAACTCAAGAATCCCCCCCCCAAAGATACATCAGTTTTATATTCTCAGGCATATAAGTATACCTGCTCAGAGGCAGATGCTTTCCCATCTAAAGGAGGATCCCTCCAAAGTCCTATTCGGCCTTCAGTGCCTACTCCCGATCTGACACAAAGAAACACCCTCTTGTGTATGCGGAAGATGCCCTTAGAGACTCTGTCTGCCGCCTCCTATACTGGCAGTAATTCTTTCTTTCATTTCAGCAAAACTACGTATTCAAGTGTTATTTTTCTTCTCTTTCTTTCCCCTTGAAGGCTGACTGGCCTCTGCCTGGTCTGTACGGAGCAGGCGAGAGGGAAGAGAACTATTAAGGGAGAGGAAGCATTCAAAAAAGAGGTGGTGAAGGAAGAAAGCAGTCTATATACCTCAAGCAAGATGGAAGAAAACAATCTATATACCTCAAGTAAAGCTGCCCCTTGAATGTCCGCACCAGCTGGTCACAGCCCTTTAACCAGCCACTTGCTTATTGGCAGCTGGCACAGAGCACTCTCCTTCCACCTGCCTCAGATTCGTGTCCCCCCTCGGCTGTGCTGTTCTTGGGGTGAACGTGGGGCAATCTGCCTCTTTGCCCCTGAACCTCCTCCGCACAGGGTTCTTATGGGGATGAAGTGCACAGGGGGAAAAGCTACGCACGCTACCTTCAGGTCCACTGCAAGAAAAGCAGATTGTGAATGTAGCTTGACTAAATAGAGTGTGCTGCTTATTTCCATACAGGGGCAGTTTCTGAAATTAGAAGATTATGGGGCTAGTTTCTGCTGTGGGAAATTGCTAAAAAGGCATGGAATGAAAGAAAGGATGCACCTGGGGATCATGTCTAATGATGCCGGGTGCACAGGTTTTATTCAGTGCTCCTGTGAACAAGTCCCGTTGGACCTATTCATGCCATAATAATAATTAAAACAAAACAGTATAATGTGCCATCAAGCCAGTTCTGACGTCTGGTGACCCTTTTCAAGGTTTTCCAGGTAGCGAATACTCAGAAATAGTAGGCCATTCCCTTCTTCTGGGCCGAGGGCTTGCCCAAGACCACACAGACTGGCTTTCCCTCCCAGGAGGCACAGTGGAGAATTGAATTCCCAACCTCTGGCTCTGCAGCCAGAAACTTCAGTCACTGAGCTATCCAGCCAGCTTTTTGTTTATTTATACCATATAGCGGGGAAGGGGGGGAGTGAAGCCTAAGCAAAAAAATCTTGCCATTGTTCATGAATATCCCACAGAAAACATCCACTTTTTGGGTCTCCTACCAACCCAGCCAGCAAAACATGTCCCCCTGAGTTGGATGCACTGTTCCCCTTGAAATGTTGCAGGAACCTCTGCTCAGACCACAGGCCGGCCACCCCATAGTCTAAACCACTGATTCTTAACCTTTGTTACTCAGATGTTTTTGGACTGCAACTCCCAGAAGCCTTCATCACCAGCTCTGCTGGCTGGGGTTTCTGGGAGTTGCAGTTCAAATACACCTGAGTAACAAAGGTTAAGAACCACTGGTCTAAACAGACTGGTCCTGTGTTATTAAATGCTAGATTGGTCCCAAGCAAAACTGTTTATCAACTGAGAAGGCTAACCTGGTCAATATTAATGAGATTTGGAGGAAGACACAGGGTAGGTTATTCTCTACAGCTGTGGCCTCCTAAATATTGACAACAACGCCTGTTGCATTTAAGAGTCAGTGGAAGTAAAATTCCTTTCCACCATAGTTCCAAAAAAAATGTCAGTAGGGAAGGACCTTTTTATTTTCCTTCATGTTTTCCACCTTTAAAAATCTCATCAGATAGTTAGGTTTTACTTGAGAGTTTTATTTCATTGACTTATTTTCCATACTGCTTGGTTTTTAAATTTTTTATTAATACCATTTTTCCATTTTAAAAAAAGACTATTATTGATGCATTTTAACCTTTTATAAGCTTTGTGGGGCTGCTCAGAGAACCTTATTACTGAGTATCATTGTTAATATTATAAATAAAATACTATGCCAGATTCTAGTATCCTTATGAATTTCCTTGTCTGGAAGCAAGGTAGCACATCTGAAACTAAATGGTGGCACCCTTAACCCTGGGGCTGGGACATCTTTCGGACTCTGAACGTTTTGGACTTTAATTACTAGACATCCTAACCAGCATGGCTAGGAATCAAGGAATATAAGAGTTGTATTTCAAAATACATCTACAAGGCAAAAGATTTCCCCATCCTGTTGAACTCTGTAGGACTAAATTGGCCCAAATCCAAATGTCCTCCATCTGCTTCCAAAACAAATTGCTTGCCAGACTTTGCAATGTTTTTTGGAAAGTTTGATCAAAACTGAGTGCAGGGAGGGCATGTAAGGATCAGAAGGGGCAAGTATCTCGTAGTAATCAGGACTCCACATAATTGCTCCTCAGAAGCACATACCGCTCTGGTTTGGCTTCCTTGTACCATCCATACTGTCCATGCGTGACTGTTGTTATATAGGCAGCTTGGTGCGCCTTTGCCTGCTAGGTCAGCGTCTCAGAGGCCTTTTTGCTTATGAAAAAGAGAGTAAAGTCAGAAAAGGGGTGGATCTGTTCCATGTTGATTGGGTTGCTTTATTTCTCTTGAGGCATTTCAGGAAACTTGGCACAACAGCTGCTCTACTGTTTGGAATTTTAACCCTGGATTTGTCCAAGACTGAACCTTGCTGAATTTTGATGACACCATGATATGAAACTCCGAACAATCTGCAAAACCCTTTTGTGCTGCATCTTTAAATATGGTGAATTGAATTCTGGGATACTATCCAAGAATGTGACTGGGAAGGAGAGTCTAGATTGTAAAACACGGGTCCTATATAAAATAATATTTTAAAAATAATAATTTTAAAAGTGATTGTGTTCTCTATTTGGCAAGATTGTGCTTCTATCCTGCCATGTGCAAAATATAACATTTAAACAATGTTTTACTCACTCAGGCCTCGGCTTTTCTTGCTCTACAGGTTAGCTTTCCCTCAGTCTCGTAGCAGAGATCGAAGAATATAAATATGATCAAAAACATGAAACACTTATGTCCAAAGCTGTATGGTAGCTACGGATGAGATGCTGAGCTCAGAAAATGCCTTAGTTCAGTGGAAGAATAGATGAGTTGCATACAGAAGATTTCTGTTCTCCAGCCTCACCACTTAAAAGATAACACTGCTGAGAAATAATTTTTCCACTTATGACTGTGGAGCAGCCAATGAGAATAGGCCTTCTGGACTGAGCCTAGAGAAGTTATTTTTAAAAGGAACT